CCAGAGTCCACTTTGACATCCTGCCCAGTTTGATGCTGCTGCTAAAAGATTTCCTGATTCGTCAAACCGATGCTAAAGTAGAACTTCCCATGATGCTCCACATTCCTCATTTTAGGGAAGAAAGGGATTCTTCTGAGAGCTGTCATAAAATATAACTGGTTTCTCGTTATTTTATGACTTTATTCTTTCTTCTGAGAGCTGTCATAAAATACTGCTGGTTTCCCGTAATTTTTGGACTATTCTGTTAATATTATGACTTAATTCCCGTAATTTTATGACTACTCTCTCGTTGTGACTTTTTTTTTTTTTTTCCATAATATTACCACTTTATTCTTGTAATTTTACGACTTTATCCTCTAAATAGAAGAAAAAAAATCTTTAGTCTGGCCCTAATATCCATCCTACTTTCAAAACACTTTTTTCATTAACATTCTTTTTCAAAGTTTAGTTTCTGAATTGCACTTTTTTTTCCTTTGCAAAATGTGTTTTTTTCTTGCAACAATACTGAAACAAAGTTCACTCCATAGCTGTAGAGCTGAACTCTGGGAAACCGAGTTCTATCAAAGACCTGGATCTTTTCCCAGTGTGCCATCCTGAGCTCTGCAGAGAATAACCAGTTTATAAACAGTTTATTAACGAATGCCTGATGATTAACGACCTTATTAGTCATCAGAAGCTTGTGTTTTTTTTCCAGCACAGCCAGAAACCCTTGAAGACAAAGCCATGATTAAAGCAGCTCCTCAGTCTTCTTCTCTCCCACTAATCAGCAGCTTCCTGTTCCAGGTTGTTTATCTTTTCCTCCTTTCCTAGTTTGTCCATGTTTCCTCTGCAGCTCTGAGCGGAACAGCGAGCCCTTCCTGTTTCCTGAAGCTCTCAGTTCAGGGATTCATCCTAATAAAAACATCTAGGAGATGCTTTCTGCTCAAACAGCAAACTTTAACAAAGCTGCATGTTTAATCTTTTAAAAACACAGAGCTCCAATAAAACTGGACATTTTTCATATTGGGGAATATTTTTCAGACTCAGTAATTCCTTATAGCTGAATAGTGTTGGATGTGAAGGTGGCAAAGATGGAAATAGAGAGAAAAGGATAAATGCCGCCCCCTAGAGGCTACAACTGGAAAACAGTTAGAATCAGCCTGAAACATACAAGTCTCTGCTTTTTGTCTCTGGATATTTATTGACCTTCATGGCTGCTAGTCAGAACAATGGCCATCAGTTTACAGTTTAACAGAATTTCAAGTCATAAGTAAGTTCACCCCTCAGAGACATAGATGAGTCAGAAACAATTTTAAAAATATTTTTTCCAAAGAAACTGTAACTGAAAGCTTTATGTTTGTTGGAGCTACGGAGCAGATCAATCATCCTCTCACAACACAGCGCTGCATCTAGAAGCTTCAGTTCAGTGAAGGAAACATTATGTTAAAGCTGCAAGGAACTCTGGGAAATGGAGTTTCTTTCATCACGGCTCCTAATAGGATGTTTTCTCTTCCTGGGGGAGCAGAAGCCCCTCATTCAGGCGTGTCACATGTGGCCATGCGGTGCTGCAGTTTCCCAAACAAACTCAAATGGTGATGAAGAAAAGCAAAAAAAATAAAAAGTGCTGAATTTGATTCATTAATCCTCTTTTTTCGTCTCCTCTTTCGTCTCCTTCTTCGCTGCATCTGCTGTCACCTCCACAGTCAGAAGCTCCTCCCCTTCCTTGCGTGGCGTCATCCTGATGATGACGGAGCTGTCCGCTGTCTCTGCCACAGACTCGTCTCTGTCCTCTGGAGCCGGGCTCCGGGGGACCGGAGAGCGGCGGTGCATCGGAGAAGGGGGCGGGACCGGAGAGATTGGGGGAGGAGCCTGATTAAACACAGATGGAGGAGGAGAGGCAGTTATTTGGTTAAAACTCAACAATTCCATAAAGAGGAAAGAGCAAGATAACAACCCCCATAGACCTGACAATAACTTCTCCTCATTTCACTTATTTCTCTTTATCGATTGTTAAGCTTCCTATCCTCCTTCCTTTCCTCCCCTCCTTTAACTCCTGTACCTCTGTTTGGGCCTCAGATGGTTTGTAGACCTTCTTCAGCTTGGCGAAGGTCCCCTCAATGCCCGCCTGCTCCGTCACCTTCAGAGCAGCCTTGAACAGTTTGGGGGTGTCTGGTCGGGGCGGGATGACCTCCGCTGCCTCCTTACGTGTCTCCTTCTCCTCCGGCTTCTTGTCCTTGGTCAGCATTTTCCTGCGCAGAGAGAGGCAGACAGGAAGCCTGACCACACTGAGGTCCAACCGACACGTTTAAGGTCTGCATCCCAAAGTGGGACGTCACATTCTGTCTGACTGAGCAGAAAACCTGAGGAGGATCACAGAGATCATGTGACCTGGTTCTCCTGGACAAAGTAGAGCGAGCAGCTTGAGCTGATTAGAGATGGAAGTAATCCTGTCGAGGACACATCAGACACAGGAAGGAGAACGGAGGAAACCGGTATAAAAGTATAAATGTCTGAGACTGGAATCCAGAACTTTTATAGAAGTTTGCCAAATCGTCCGCTTCCTTTGGACTCTGGTGGCTCTGACCCGCTGATATGTCCCTCTACGTCTTCTAGAACCTGCAGCGGGTGATGCTGAGTCTGATCCACACAGGGCGTCACTAATGAATCCGTCAAACTAATCACATTAAACGCTTCGGTCTCTGTGAGCTTTAAGAGACAGAACCAGGAAGTACAATGACCAGATCTGATGATGCTGTGTGACATCATCTAAACTGTCCAACCAATGAGCCACTGTGACCTCACATTTCCTGAGGTTCATTTGCTGTTCCGGTAGACCATTAAGGATCAAACTGATGTCTTTTGCCTTTTATGATAAAATATTCAAACTAACATTTAATAAAGTAATAAAACCCAAATGAGAACCACAGTATCTGTATCCAAGCTTCTCTTTAACCCCCATCAATAGTAACCAAACACATCACAGAACCAGGTCCGGTTTGGTGTCCCCGGGTCTTACTTGGCCTTCTTTCGCAGGAGTTTCTGGGACTCGGGATAATGGACCAGGATCTCTGCCAGGTCCTTCTTATCCAGAATGAAGAGGTTGGCGAATCCATGAGCCTTCACGTTGGCTGTTCTCCGGTTTCCTCCACCGCCGGCTAGCAGACTAACCAATCAGAGAGAAAGTCTGTCAGGATATTGATCAGCAAACTTTAAACTCAAATTTCATCTGCAGTCTTTCTGTGAGTCTGCAGAGTTTCTGACCTGATCTCTCCGAACACAGAGCCAGCTCTGATGGTGACAAACACCGTCTGCAGGTCAGGACCGCCAACCACCTGAACTTCCCCTTGCTTGATGATATACATCTCCCTTCCAATCTCCCCCTGAAACACACGGACGCCATTTTAGTGCCCCATTCAGCTCAGCAGAAGCTCCCAAAACAACACAGAAGATGAGCTCTGACCTTTTTACACACAAAGTCTCCAGGCAGGTACACAACAGACTTCAGCCTGGTCAACAGGTCGAACACCATCTGCCTGTCGCAGCCCTGCAAGACACAAACCCGGCCAGATTTTCATGCTCGGCTGTTCTCTGTAGCAGCTGTTTGACGCTGGTCCAGCGGTTCTTAGTTTCTCACCTGAAAAAGTGCCACTTTGCTGACGATGGAGTAGTTGACGTCTACAGCAATGTCCAGCCTCATTTTAGCAGGTAGTTGAATCAGCAGCTCCTGTTCATCTGGAAACACACAGTCACCATGAACTCACCATGGGGCGTTCAGGAACGCTGTTGATGTTTATCCTCACCCTACGGTCTCTCTAGATTTGTCAGAGATCATAATGCTGTAGGTTTCCTTTGCTTTCAGGATCCTGGCAGCTCTGTCAGCAGAGAATGGAAGCTAAAAGAGTGGTTTTCTTTCAGGTGGGATCCCTCCATATTGGATTTCTCTCTTGCCTTTCTGGCAGATTGGCCTGGGTTGTACTTATATAGCACTTTATCAAGTCAGGAGACTTGACCAAAGTGCTTTTCATCACATTCAGCCATTCTCCCATTAACTCACACACTGACACACTGATTGTGGCAAACTACATTTCCACTGACAGAAGTGAGGCTGCCGTACACTGGGCCCTCTAACCGCCATCAGTAGGCAATGCAGGTAAAGTGTCTTCCCAAGGACACAATGACACTAGAAGCCAGAGCTGGGGCTTGAACCAACAACCCTACGGTTGCAGGGCAAACTTCTGCATCCGATGCCACCATCGGCCCAAGATTGAGGCCAGATCAGATGAAAAAAACAAAAACAAAACTGAAGCTACTTCAGGAAGAAAGCAATTATGTTGCTCCTATTTGCTTAGTTACCAACTTTATAGATGTTTAGTCCAATCTCCTACATACCAGAGCTCCACCACCATCACCCCTTGGCTAAGATGTTCTGCCTAAACCTGTTAGCCTGGCATTTATAGCTTTAGGGTTGCATGGATTGTTTGATGTAGCCACATGACACCAACCTATTGGCTGTAGGGTTATAAGACTATGAGGCAGAATGCTAAGAACACACACAATCTGTCTGTAAAATTTCTAGAACATCATGATGTTCATAATGAACAGTTCCGGTCCTGAACAAGTCACATCTGTGCATGCCGGAATCCACATGGGTGGAGAACCTGCCTCTGGTGTCTTTAAACTCCACCCGGGGCCATGATGGCCGCACCAATACTTCCCCACAGGAAGTCTAGTCTTGTTTCTAATGCTCAGATAACCTGCACCATCACCTGGGTTTCTAAAAGCACCCAGAAAACCATGTAGTCTTTCTGTCATATGGTGAACTATTGGTCCAGTGTGAGGAGGTCTTCAGGGAGACTGAATGCCTCCTGATTAGTGCAACATCATAGAAACTGCTTCCTGAAGAATACGATGACTATCTGATATCATAGAAAGAAAATAAACTGACATAAACCTGCCTGAATGCAACAGAACCGTCTAGTTCTGCAAAAATTACCCCTCCATGGGTTGTTTCAACATGATGTATAGTGATACGGGACTCACTGCCTGAAAACTGAGGTTTAGATTATCATTGCCTGATTGTCTCGTACTTCGATGCTCATCATGGACAGTTGTTCAGAACTTTCTGGATTGCCTTCTTGTTTTCAGTATCTCTGTTCTGCTGCTTACCCAGCATGCCCTGGATCTTCCAGGTGTAGTCGTACCAAGTCTTGATGCGGTTCTGGACTTCTCTGGGGATGTTGTAGGAGTTCATATACTTGACAGTGCTGTCCATACAGGCCCGGTAGTAATTTTCACCCGCTGTTGCTGCTCCGACTACATCTCTCATCTGTGACGGAGAAATCAAACCAAAAACAAGTGAGCCAAGATTAATGTAAGAAAATACTCCCCAAACCAACCCGTCAAAACAGAACCAGAACTCCTAAACAGTTTGTTGTTGGACCAACCTGACCAATCATGATGGAGAAAGCAAACACGCCCACAAAGTAATTGATGAGCTGGAAGCAGATCTCAAAGACAGTTGTTGGGTCTGGCAGTCCGCCGATGGTGATTAGCGTCTTTACAGCGAAGTAGTAACAGCGGATGTAACTGTAAACATGAAATCATCTCATCACTGACAGGAAGTCCAAAAACAGGCCAGAACATCTTCATTGTGTCTTCGTCTTCATTTGGGTCACGGTAAGCACAAAACAGGCTTAAATCGCTAGAGCTCTAATGTGAGCAGAGACTTAACAACGACTGCTGGATAGGTGTCCAAACATTGTCAGGAAAGCTAAGCTAATGTCTGATTTAGGCCTGTTTTGTGGCTGGAGAAGATCTTCAGGTTTTACTTGATGTGGTGTTTTTACCATCAGCTGAACGGTTAGGAAGAAGACGAAGCTTAGTGTTGTCCCAATACATGCCCCTATACGCCCTCTTTCAGAGACATAGACAGGTATGGGGCATTTCAGGCTAACAAAGAAGCCAAACAACCCCCATTCCAAAGGGGGGGACCCGTTCTTCCGGTTCAATTTGAATTATTTCTAAGCCAAAACGAGGCTTTGTTGGAATACTGTATAAAACCTGGAACTCAACACTATTAAAGTATTTCTGATATCAGAATCTGATTCTGATATTTCTGTCATTTTTAATTAAGAGAGCTTCCTGGATGGGAAGAGAAACGTCTTTAAACTTGGAAACAAAGTCCAGTGGATTGATTTTTCATTTTTTGGCATGCCCCTATAGGCTAAATGAACATCTCAGAAACTATCAAAATATTATTGTTTCATTCCTCAAACCTTAAGCTAGAGTCAAAGTGGGTTTTTTCAGAGTTAAGCAGAATTGATGAATAAATATCTCTTTATTATAAAAATGGTTTGATGAAGTGTTCGGGTGAAGAAATGTGACCTCATTGTTAATCGTTTGGTCTAATCGCACACATTCAGGAACTCCTGGGTTTCTGTATTTGTCGTAGATATTGGGATGTGTGACCCAATGCTTGAATAACTGAATGAAAAAAGCAGAAGCTCATCGCTGCAGAGGGTCTTACGCGTTGCCTCTTCCATCGTAGACCCATTTGGTGGATCCAAGGCCTTCATAGTCGGAGCCCCAGTAGAAGAGACAGGCGTTGATGTGCAGAGAGTACAGCAGGTAGGTAGAGGTCCGAATTACCCTGACACACAACAACAGGTGAAACAATGGGACACGTTTGCAGAAAAGGTACAGCAGGTAACAGCTGCTGGGGTTCCTAAAGGATTTTCCTTCTGGGTACTTAAGCTTTCAGATCATGGTTGCAAATTAAGATCTTCTTGGTTCTTGTGATCTAACTGACATAAAAGCGTCACAGAGCCTTGCAAGAGGTGATTAAATAAGAGTCAAGTGGGCTAAAGGAAAAAGGATAGATGGATGAGTTTTGGATTTCTCTGGTTCCTCACCTGTAGATGTAGGCCTTCTTCATCACGGCCTCCATTCTGTCGTTGAACTCAAAGAACACCATGTACTGGAAGAGAAGCAACACTGAGAAATCTTTATCTGGACATTTTACACCGAATAAAGCAAAAGCAAATGATCTCACCTTCAGCAGACGAGGGAATCTAAGCAGAGAGTTCACCCCAGTGAAGTAGTATAATATCTCCATGGGAAATAGACTGATGACATCCATCTGGAACCAAACATTAAGCCGTCTGCTCAGTGGATCAAAACCAAACCACTAAAAATGCCCTAATTTACCGATTCAGGAGATTCACTTTAAATAGCAATAAGCAAAGCGGATAAAAGAGACGATAGAGACAAACTTGTTCTCACCTTAAACCTCTCAGTGGTCATGTAATGTTCTCTCATGTCCTTTTTATCACACTGTCAATAAAACCAGTTAAACCAGTTAAAGGTGCATGCAAATGCAAGGACAGAATGAGAAAGACGTTTTTCTCTGTCTGTTTACGGACCACGATGTCTCCCCCACGGACAAACTGCAGTCTGGGCTGGAAGATGAGGATGTCTGCGATGTAGATGAAGTCACAGGTGTAGTCCATCAGCAGCCACAGGTGGATGTTCTCAGGTGTCTGATAGGGGAACGCCCAGCGGACAGGGATCAGCCACACATTCCAGTTCCAGGCCGCCACCACGAAGAACAGCCAGATGACATAGATCAGATCTGAGGGAGGAAGTGTGGAAAAGCTGGGTTTATTTCAACGCTGTTTGATGGTGGAAACCAACAGGGACACAAACAAGAAGCAGAAACTGGACTGGTCTGTTCATGAAGTAAACGGGAGAGTTCAGTTTTTTCTCTCTTAGCAAAGCAGATATTCAATAGAATAAGGAATGTTCTGCTAACTTGATGAACAGAA